TTGAGAAGAAAGCTCTGCTTAAACCAATGGCAAAGCTCGCCATATGTTTAACATTGGTTTCAAGAGGTTCAAGGTTCGACGCCAGCTTTAGCCCAACAAGCGACATTGATACTGAAGGAGGCGTGAACTTTTTGTTAAATGCTCTCCCGCGGTGCTCTATGATAAGACCGTAAGGACTTCTGGGAGCACCTATAATAACTACCAAAAAAAAAAAAAAAAAAAAAAAAAAAAAAAATTTTAATTTTCAAAGAAAGAGTTAATGTTTTATCTAGCTACTCGGTTTAGTTAAGGCACTTTTAAAATATTATAGCGTCTGTATGATATTTTGTTGATTATGACATATTTCCGTGAAATGATCTGGTCTGTGAATTACGAAAAAACGAAAAAAATTAAAATAATAAATTTTGCGGTATCATAAAATATAAATGTTTGTAGCGAAAAAACCCAGACGGTGGAATCTTTTGTTTAAAAAAAAAATCATCTTAAAATCACAATCGCTCGTCCAAATTTAAATAAGATTTTATATTTATTTATTTTTTAGGTGAAACGAACATTATAGTTTAACAATATGATCTATTCTGACCGTTTATTTGCAATTATTTATAATTGTAAGCTCTTTCTTGGTCGGAGTTCCAGTATTTTTTTGTGAAAATTGATAGAAGAATTGTGTTTTGACAACTATATATAGTTAATATACGTCAGAGCCGATTAGAACTAGAATCATTAGTAAATTAAGTAACTTTTTAAAAAGATTTTAACTAAATTCATGTTAATGTTGATGAGCGAAATTGATCTAAAGATTCAAAAATAGTGTTCTTTAGATACATTATTACGGTTTGTAAAAAGATTTTAAAAATTATATCTAAAAAAGAAAAGTTTCTTCAAATATTATAAAAACCTTAGGCAAAAAAAATTATAACATTTAAAGATCTTGTGTGGACATAATATGCTGACAAAACCATGCTAATTCCAAATAAAAGTATTTAAATATTTTGTAAATCGCCTTAACTACACCGAGTACAGGCTTTTTTTTTGTTTTTTTTTGCCTCCGCAGCAGCACCTCCTTGAGTAGCAGAACTCTCTTATTAAGTTTTTGTTTTCAATTAAGTTTTATACAATATTTTTTTCAGATCATCCGCAGTTTATTAGGATTAATTACCTGAGCACATTAACGACATAAGTGTCTCAATCATCATACATACCCAACAAACTTTTTGTCCCGGTGATATTTTTTTTTTTATATTTTATGAAATTTTAGCTTTCTTAAAATCTTTTCTTTTGTAAAAGTGTATAATATCGTTACATATGTTTGTATATGATTTCTATAAAACTTCAAAAGTACTTTGTATTTTTAAATAATCTAAAAATAAATAAATAAATATAAGAGTCGCTAGTGATAGAAATTGAACCACGGATTTATTTGTTCAGAATCTCGGCGCGTTTTTCACTCGTCCACACTGGCACTTTGTTAAGCAAAGATTTTTAAAACTATATAATAATTTTTTTTAACGGAAAAAAATGATTTAGATCAAAATTAAGGAGAGCTTGACGCAATGCAATTTTCAAGTGAAAATCAAATTGTAAAACTTGAAAAAAGTTTCAGTATGTTTTAACATTTGTTTTAACATTATTTAATTTAAAACTTACGTACGTTAGATATTTGCATACACGTTCGTTCACGTTTTTTTATAAAACAATGTGCTGCGTCTCTTTCTCGCCATTACCTCGATTGCAATGGCTGCCAAGGGTACCGTGCCAAACAGCCTGAAACCGCACTACTATTAAATTCAGTATAATTATATATATATATATATATATATATATATATATATATATATATATATATATATATATATATATATATATATATATATATATATATATATATATGCTTACATATATTCTAATTTTTTTTTACAAAATAAGCATTTTAAAACCATATTGTTTCAAAATAGGGCAAGTTGGGTCAGCTAACTTTTTTAGTTTCTTATAGAATGATAACTCTCTTTAAAATTAATTTCAAAACTATTTTTAAAAACATTACGGAATAGTTAATAAAACTTATTATTGGATTAAAAGCTATCTTACAGACAGAAAACAATATGTAAATAATGCCCAATCTGGAGTGTTAAATGTCGTATGTGGAGTTCCGCAAGGATCGATTTTTGGTCCACTTCTTTTTTTAATATATATAAATGACTTCTGTAATTCATCCTTAAAACTTAATTCAGCCATGTTTGCAGATGACACGAATTTATTTCTTACCAACAACGATATCAAGAAATTATATGCGGACATGAATATTGAACTAAATAAAGTAAATAACTGGTTTAAGGCTAACAAACTCTCAATACCGAGAAAACAAACTATATACTTTTTCATAAAAAAACACAAGAAGAAAATCTTCCTCTCAAGTTGCCGAACCTATTTATAAATGATAAATTAATTAAAAAGCAATCCAATATAAGATTCTTGGGAATCGTTGTTGATGAAAAATTATCCTGGCTTCCTCATATAATATATATCCAGTCAAAAATTACCAAAATCATAGGTTTAATGTATCGAGTTCGCTCGTACATTAATACAAATAGTCTTAAATTAATCTTTTTTAGGCTAATTCACAGCCTCATCAGCTATGCAAACATTTCATGGGCAAGTACTCAAACTGCAAAGCTTAAGAAACTTTATAGTTTTCAGAAACATGCCTGTAAAGTCATTTACTTTAAAAATAGGCAGGAACACGCTAATCCCTTGATGAAAGATATGAAAATGATGAATGTATTTGAAATAAACATCGACCAGCATTTAATTTTCATGTATCGTTACAATCACAATATCTCTCCTATAAGCTTTAATAATAAGTTTGAGTTAAATAAAAATGAAAACTATAATCTTAGAGCGAATATGTTGAACACATATAAACTGCCAAGGATAATAAATAAATATTCAAAATACAGCATTTTATATAGAGGTCCAAGGTATGGAATATTTTTCAGAAAGAGTTCAAAGGTACGGTGAGTTTGTTAAGTTCATTCAAGTTTTTAACAAAAAAAGAAATCTTTAAAACCGGTGAAACATTTTTTGTTAATAATGCATTGGATAAATTCTCTTAAATAAGTTTTTTTTTTGTTTCTACTTTAGTTTGTTGCTTGACAATTTTTATTAGCGGATTACGCATTTTGTTATGATATTTTATTGACATTTTTATTTTGTATGTCATATTACGATATTTTAATTAAATCTTGTTAAAGGGGTTCTATGAAAACATTGCGATGACGTTCTGTCATCCTCATCTTCTTTGAGTCCCTATCTGTTTTACTTGTTTTGTTAAATTTTATATTATGTAGTAGAATCTGTAAAATTCTTATGTTATTTAAACAGAGAAAAAAAAAAGAAAAAAAAAAAAAAAAATTTTAGCTTTTTGAAGGATGTTTAAGGTAAAAAGTCCTGACTCTGAAAAAATAAGTTTAAACTTGTTAAAATTGCATTTTATATGCATTTCTTAGAGATGCATAATTACATATTTCAAATATTTTTTTAAATTAAGATTAAATTATTTATTATCTTTGTGTATAATAATAATGAAATGAAAGTTTTGTATCTAGGGAGAAAATTTAGTTTTAATAATGATTAAAAAAGCAATTTTTGGTCACTTTCATACATAAATTAACGTTTAAATCTATTATTTCAGTACTTTTTTTTAAACTGTTAGAATCATACGAAACTGTAAAAGATAGATAGCTAATAACATTGTTTATATTGCTATATTGAGCTGTTCCAAAAATTGCATCATAAAGTATTTTTAAACTATTAATCGATATTTACATACGTTATTAAATTTACATACGTTAATGATGTTGTTTTACTTTTGGTGTGACATTTTGATTATAACGGAGGATTTTATTTAAGACAATTTTGCACTCACAACGTTGCGTTTTATACATTGTATCAATCTTTGGTTCATATATATTGAATCAATGTTAGGTTAAGTAAATAAGGTTGACCTTAATCCATATATATTGACGTTGGGTTATTTATATTGGATTAAAGTTGGGTTTAGGTTGTAAAAACAATCAAGTTTTGAGATGGTTTTACAAATGTTGGTCAAATGTATCTGTTCAAGCTGTTTTTAGTTGCGTAGCTAATAAACCTTTTATCAATATTATTGTTAAAAAAATGCCACTGGATCAACGTTGAATTTGCATTGGGAAAAAAAGCCGTCATTTACTATAGTTTTACATACGTTGGCACAATGTATGTATGCTAGCTGGGATTGTCCTTAGTTCATCATACCAATACCATAGTCCAAAGTTACTTATACAAAAACCATAGTCCTTAGAAAACAATACTATACAAGAAAGTTCATGCAAATATAAAAGTTTTTAACACACTTATACACTTACAAATGATATTTATTTGGAGAAGTAAAGTGAAGTCGTTGAAAGTAAATAAATCTTATATATATATATATATATATATATATATATATATATATATATATATATATATATATATATATATATATATATATATATATATATATATATATATATATATATATATATATATATATATATATATATATATATATATATATATATATATATTTACCAGTAAAGTTCCAAAATTATTATTTATTTACTAATAAACCGTAACACGTTAGTTTTTCACCCCCAAGAGTTGAAAAACGTTAGTCTGCCTCTATTCAATATTGAAATAACGAGAAAGTATTTATGTGTGTGTATTTGTGTGTGTTGTGTTGTGTTGTGTGTGTGCGTGTAAGTGTGTGTGTGTGGTTTGAGTTTTTCATGGATAGATACCGTTTGAGTATTAAGTTACTGTTGTAAATAATTGAGATATTAGCAGATTTAGCTACTGTGCAAGCTAGGTAAAAATTGAGGTAGTTTCTTTTTTATATTTTGACGAGTATTGAGAAAATTGTTATGTATACCTTTTTAATTTAGTTTAATTAATATAATTTCAGTATATATTTTTTTCAGGTATGGTAATACTTATTTTCTTAGTTGTTGCTATGGCTTTATTCAGACTTCAACCGTTGTTTGGAACTATAAACATAATTGCGGCAGTTTTAATATTATTTTTTTACTTGTTCATACTTCTGAAGGCGCAGTATTGTAAAGAAAAAAGATATCTTGGATATTCAAAGAACAATAATGAAAGAGATAGCTGTTTAAATATGATCTATGAGAATAATCCTCAAATTATTTTGAAAGTTGTATGCTACCATTATGATTATTTTCTTGGAGGAGAATCTGTTATCACCCATACTGAACATCTAAACTTTGATTACAAAAGTTGTCGAGACGTATCAGATCGTAATCAAATTTTGTCTGCTCAAAAAAGCATTACGCAAATAAAACTATCAAAAGTGCTATCTTTTAGAGACGAACAAACAAGCAAAAAGTTCCTAGAACTTCGATCAAGTTTGGTCGAGAGAAACAAAAATAAAGATTTATATTTTAGTTACAAAGAAGAAATTAGATTTCCCGGCTTTAAAGACAAAGTTAAAAGCTTCAATGCACCTTGGCCGTTTTGGATGAACAAGTTTTATTTTCAGCTTGCTCATTTTTTAGCATTATCATGGCCTTATAGATGGCTACTAAACAAAAATGTTAACAATATCAATCATTTAATCAATAAAGAAATTTCTATTTTTGAAAATACACAAATTTCATTGAGCGTTCCGGAGCAAGTAAATACTTTTAACCAACCGTTCCAAAACGAAACATGTCTATAATTTGAAGGCAATGTGTAAAAAGTGTTAACTTTTTTATGTTGGTGACTAAAGTTTGACTAAGTTTTTTTTTTACGTTCATTTTTTTATTTTTATTATTTTTATAATTTTTTAATTTTTTATAAGTAATATTAAATTTGACTTAAATAAGAACAAAAGTAAACAAAACTATATTTATTAACTACACCTCACAATTACCATAAAGCTTAAGGTAAGTTTACTTCGATAGGACTGATTAGTTATATTTATGGATGTATGGTTTTCTGTTTAAAAGTTTTTAAAATTGAACATTTTAACCCAATAAAACTTAGTTATATTTTATATTTAAATCTTTTAACTTTGATTTAGTTTAAGAATATTGTGATTATTTTATTTCGTGATCTGGCTATTTGCAATACTGACGCCCTTATAATTTCACAAAGGTAAGTAAAATGCGTGTCAGATAGTTAGACCTATAAAATTCTCGACCTAAAGGTCTTTTTTATTTTCCAATGATTTATTGCGTTTTTGTTTCGACCGATTCATTTTTCAACCTATTTTATAGATTTTCATTTTCAACCGATTTGAGATAAATTAATTTTCAACCGATTATCCGGTCTGTATTTTTAAAGTTGTTTTATTAAATAGAGTTTTTTTTTTTTAAATTAACAATCAATAAGTTTTAAAAGCATTCCTTGAACCTTATGCCTACCGATTCTTAACATAGCACTTTAACCACTGCGGCAAGGCTGATCAAATTAGGCTCTTATTCAAATCAACAACAAAATATTTAAAATACATACAGGAACGGCGTAGTTACAAAATTGAAAACACGATAGGTTGTATATACTGTAAGTTGAAAATTCAGTATGTCAAAAATACAGTAGGTCAACGATTTATTTTTTTGAAAAATTAGTAGTACATGTTTTAATTAGGTGTAAATATAAAAATCAAAAATTGTGGGTTAAAAATTAAAATCGTCATAAGTTACGATTTACAAAATTTCAAAATTAGATTGAGTTGACCACCGTAAAAAGCCATTGTAACTAAGATGATCGTTAAACTAGACAAAATAATATTCTGCGCATGCGTTAGTTTACACTTTTTTATCGTTTTGTTTTGTTAACCCAAAGAAACAAATTAAAAAAAAAGGGTACGTTAACCAAACTGAAAGCTTTTACTTTGCCATGGGAAATATTAATATTTTACGGAATTTTTGTAGTGATAATTTAGTACTTTTGATAATATTTAACTTACAATGTGTATTCTAGTCGAAATTTATATTTTTATAATATATTTTATAGTATATTTTATAGTACACTTTATAGTATATTTTATAGTATATTTTATAGTATGACAAATAAGGTAATTCTTAGATCTCTTCTAATTTTGTTTTAGGATTCATGGTCAACCAGGTTTACCTTTTTTGATTTTTTTTCGAGAAACTTATGGAAACAAGAACATTTTTCTGCACATGGTAATGGCCTAATGGTTCAATACTAGAACTTGAATCACTATTTGAATTTTCTTATTGTCAAGGCTGTTGTTTAAAGAATAGAAATTTTTAATTCTTTTGAAATATTTATTTACATTTACTGCGTCATTTATTACGTTTTTTCCACGTATTCAACAAACTAGATTTAATTTGGTTGCATGGTCTTTCTTTCAAAGATATCTAAATATAGGGCTTATGTAAGATAAATAAAAAGTATGCCTTAAAAATATAATACCTGTCTCTTGAATCAACTTTAAATAGAGTTCAATACAATAAAGAAAACAAAGCAACTTACTTTCAGCTCAATAAAATTCATTTTATTATACTTAGGTTGTTAGAGAAGTTTGTAGAACTTCATCTATAAAGTTACAATAAGAGAGGAAATAAGTAAATATTTATATATTATCTTTTAAAATGTTCATTATTAAACTGCGTTTAATAATGAGCAATTTAAATACTTGTTGAAATATTTTGAATGTTTATTAAAAAAGTTATTTAAATTTTAGTGAAAGGAAAAATTTAAAAATGGAAAAACTTGAATATCGAGCATATGTTAAAACCCGTGTTTAACTTGGAGTTTCAGCAATAGCCATAACCGATTAAATGGTTTTAGTTCATGGTGATCAAGCTCTATAATATAGTACAGTTGCTAAATGGGCTACTTTATTCAAAGATGGTTAAGAGAGTCTTGAAGATGAGCCTCGCTCAGAGCACCATCAAACCACGTATTCAGCTAAGAATACTGAACGTGTGCGAGCCATTATTAAAGAAAATCCGCTTGCAATACATAATATAATTGAAGCTCTGACATCGATTAATTGTTTTACAATCAACGAAATCATTCACAACACACTTAAAAAAAGAAAAATAACATCACGTTGGATTGCCCACGAAATAACCAATCGAAATCAAAAGAATAGAGTTGAGGCATGTATGTAAAATTTGACCCTTTTCAGAAACGGACCACGGAGACTATGTAATATTGTTACATGAAATGAGTCGTGGTTTTATTTAATGTATATTTTATTTTTTCAACGCGTTCGCTTTTAACAAGGCTGCTCGCAACCACTATTAGAGATGGAAGTTAATGGAAGAAAAAAAAAGAAGTTTATAGAGTAAGATAACGATTGACAGACTACTTAAACTATGTCAAAATTATATGAATTAATAAATGAGGAAAAAAGAGTTTTTAGAGCATTTAGGAAAAAAGAGTTTTTAGAGCACTTAGGAGTAGTTAGAGAAAAAGACTTAATTGACTGACGAGTAACACGAGAATAAACTTTAGTCCATCTATTAAACTTTGGTACATCTGCACAAGAGAAGCTAGCTCTTTAATGCAGTGTCTATTATAGTACTTGTAGAAACAAAAAAGAGAAGCAACATTACGACAAGGCAATAATGGTTAAAAGTTGGCTGCAAAAGCATGTCCAAATATGTTTACAATGCCTTTTTGCAAATTGTCTAAAATAAAATAGGCATTATTAGAAGATCTGCACCAGAAATGGCAACAGTATATCATAAAAGGACGAATTTGAGATTTATAGAGATGAAAAATAAAATTTAGAGTAAAGAAGCGGTGATGCAACCTTAGTAGATGCTAATTTTGAAATGGATTTGATATATGGTTTCCAAAAAAGATCGGAAGTAAGAGTTAATCCTAGAAAATGAAGGGTAGATGACTAATTGAGTACATTACCGTTTCTAAAAATAGAATTACATAAATTATTACAACAATGATTGGCTGAAAAAGTTAAGTTTTATTTAAATTAAAGTTACACGAAAACTGCGAGCCCAATGCTGTAGCAGAAGTGCGAGAATGCCCCCTACGAGCAATCAGAGAGTGTTGGCTTCTTATCATGACAAAAATAAATGTTAGTATTATTAGCGAACAATGCCAATTTAGATGTATGAATATTCGAAAGATCTTTAATGTAAACTAAAAGGAGCAGGGACTAGGATGAAATGCTTAGGAACCACTGAAGTTAAGGATATTAAAAAAAGTGCAGTCGATTAAGGACAACCTTTATACTACAATTGGAAAGGAAGGATTCAATAATCTTAAAGATGTTACCTGATACACCGTAAAAGAAAGCTTATGGAGAAGACCACTAAGCTAAACCAAATGCTTTAGAAATTTCAAGAGGGATAACCGTAAACCTCTACGGCTATCTAATGCACGATAAAATCTATTGATAATTACTGTTAGGAAAACCAGTTGTAGAACGAGAAGATCAAAATTCATATTGATGACTAGAAAGTAGTATATTAGATTCAAAATGCATCCTGAATCCAACAAGTTCTAATGAGAGATTAAGTATTTGATAATTAAAGACTCAAAAACCTTAATTATAATAGAAAGATGATTAATGGGAAAATAGTTAGACGAGTCAGATCGCTCTCTAAAATTTATGAAAATAGGGATAACAAACCCCGCTTCCCATCAGGCTGGAAAACAAGATTAATGGTTTCAATTGGATATTGCAGCAGCACAATGCTAGTTACACCAAGGAGAAAAGTCAGGCTGGTTTGAAATTATTGACTAAAAGTGACTAAAAGATTTCATGCCAGCCTAAATCCAAGACGTTATGTAAGAAGGAAATTTTTCAGCAGTAAGACAGTAAGATTTCTACCCAAGAGATATCATGAAGAAAAACGCGGAGAGTGTCCCAGTCAGCTATAAAGTAGTTGTACGAGGTAAGACGATAACGGGGTTCTGGTGATGAAGAAGAATGAGATAAAAGTTTTAGACAGATCAAACCGTGATCAGAAGCACCTAAAATTGAATGTGAAGAAATTGAGTACTGACTGGGATCAGAACAGACGTAAGTTGACAAAGTAAAGGATTTGGGTTGTCTAAAAAGCGAGTTGGAAAAAAGGCTATTTGAGTTAAAGATTAAGAAAGGCAAAGGTTGATAGCCTTACGACCTGCCAAGTCACTGACACTAGAGCCTAACTATTCAATGCAATGAGCATTAAAATCACCAGCAACAGTTTATATTGGATGATAAATAAAAAGAGAAGGCTCTGTAAAATTGATCAGAAATAACATAAAAAAAAGTGCAGTCTTGAGATAAAGGAGAGCAATATAGAGCAAAGAGAAACGCAATAGAGTAAAGTGGTGCTAAACGAAAGAAAAAAAAAAAAACAGTAGTCGGTGGACTCAAACCTAGTTTCCTGTCAAATTTGTAGT